CAGGAGGCTTTAACATGTAAATGACAATGCTGTGAGCTATACAAATGCTAATCAACAAGTTCTAGTGTTAAGATGTGCGAGGCGAGCCTGGCCTGACTGCGCTCTCCTCCTCCTAAAAAAAGATTAGAACGCAACAGTTTAGTTAATAATGTGTGTATAAAAATAAAAAATATTGAAATTATGACTTTAAACAAAAAGTAGTCTTCTGTTCTCTAGATGTTACAGACAAGGCCCGCATCCTCCACCACCTGAAGAAGATGACAAAGTCTGGGATCGCGTCTTAAATTCAGACAGAAGACATGTTTTATTGTCGATGGTAGAGACAGCACGAACAACAAAATGCAAGTGTATTATACAGAGCGGAGGCATGGAGACCTCCAATCAGCAGCTTCCACGGTGCCATGTAGCTTGGCCTTCAGATAGACACAACAAGGGAAAAGTACAGGCTTCTGCACATTGATAGAATGATGAGTTTAACTTTAACAAAAGTTGTTTTAAAGTGTTATGAAATCTCACATTCCCCCCTCTGGTCACACATTCACCTGTGACCATCAGGATCGATAAACAGCAACATAACATCATAACTCAATACTTTAAAAACTCAAACTCGGTACTTCACTCGGTACTTCAAAAAACTCAGAACTCGGAATACTTCAAAAACTCAGAAAACTCATAAAACATGTTCAGATCTTTCATAAAACTTGTCAACAATCTTCAGTAAAATACCAAACTTCATCAGTCGATGTGGTTCCAGATATTGCTTTGAAAACAGTCTCTCCCACTTCTCTGTTGGTTTCTTCAGGCTGCATTTGTGTCGAGCCATGAATTCTTCTGTGACGTGTCTTTCAATCACACGTTTCAGCTTCAGTGTCCAGATTCAGCAATTCAATTCAGTCCAAATTATGTCCAAATTGTGTAATCCAATTGTTCCAAATGATGTCCATGCAAAAGAGGACGATGGTGTTGTCCATGTCTCAGCAGCTCACAGCCGGAGTGGAATCAGGGGCTGTGCAGATTGTCCAAGTGTGCTGGTCCAGACGCATGGTTTCTCTTGAGGTTTCTCAGTTTTGGCTTTAAAAAAAAAAACACATTTTTGTGTAAAAAAAAAGTAGTCTTCTGTTCTCTAGATGTTACAGACAATGCCCGCATTCTCCACCACCTGAAGAAGATGACAAAGTCTGGGATCGCGTCTTAAATTCAGACAGAAGACATGTTTTATTGTCGATGGTAGAGACAGCACGAACAACAGATACAACAGAATACAAGTGTATTATACAGAGCGGAGGCATGGAGACCTCCAATCAGCAGCTTCCACGGTGTGCTTGTAGCTTGGCCTTCAGATAGACAAAACAAGGGAAAAGTACTGGCTTCTGCACATTGATAGAATGATGAGTTTAACTTTAACAAAAGTTGCTTAATACCATAGATGATACACACTATGCTAGGTTGGCTGCTAACATTTGCATGTATTGATTTGCAAATTTAGGTAATGACTTATAACAGCAGGGGCTGGGGTGGCCTTTGTTTATTCGTGCGGGGGAGGGAGAGCTCCAAGAGAGTACTACAGTAGTCCACAGATACAGTACACATGTGGACAATGCAGAAGAGATGCCATGGCAGTGTGTCCCCTGAGAATGCACAGTATATATTTTGTAATCAGTTTGTGCATTTCTCAGAACAATTAGTGCAATCGGCAAAACCTCATGGATAACTTGCTAAAAAGTCACTTCCTCAAAATGAACTTAATTCCTCAAAAGAAAGTCTTCATGTCAATGAAACGGTCTGTGTCTGTGTCCTGACATCAGTGTTTATGAACAACAGTCAAATGATTTAGTCATGTTTTCATTGTGACTGTATTTAGTGAGATATATATGTATGTACTGTATGTCTTTCACATATTTACTGCATATGCTCTTTGCAATTCTACAGCCTTGTGCAACAAAAATAGCACACATACAGTATTTACGTAGAACAAACATACATAACTCAATACTTAAACTCGGTACTTCACTCGGTACTTCAAAAAACTCAGAAAACTCATAAAACATTTTCAGATCTTTCATAAAACTTGTCAACAATCTTCAGTAAAATACCAAACTTCATCAGTCAATGGTTCCAGATATTGCTTTGAAAACAGTCTCTCCCACTTCTCCGTGTTGATTCCTCAGGCTGCATTTGTGTCAAGCCATGAATTCTTCTGTGACGTGTCTTTCAATCGCACGTTTCAGCTTTAGTGTCCAGATTCAGTAATTCAATTCAGTCCAAATTATGTCCAAATTCAGAAATCCAGATTGTTCCAAATGATGTCCAAATTCAGAAATCCAGATTGTTCCAAATGATGTCCAAATTTTGTAATCCAATTGTTCCAAGCTGTTTGAGTCAAATAACGTTCAGCGTTATATTACCAATAGTTTCTCTTTCCATAACGATATTCTCTCTTTTTGGAAAGATCACCAACGTGATGCAAAAGTTTACGTTATACACTGAAAAAAATCGTGATTAACATTTACTTAAAAAAATCCTCGTAAGTATTTGCACGAAGATATAATTAAAGATTACTACTATAAATCAAGTAAAACTTTTTATTTCATCAAGTATAATCTGAATGTTATTTGTAAGTAAACCTTACTTAACAAATGTGATTTTTTTTACTTGATCACATAAAATAATCAAGTAAGGTTTATGTGATTTTTTTTTTGGTTATTTATGTGTGAAATAGATATACTGCGTAACCATTATGTGTACAGATCATTTACAATAATGGATAACTTGAATAAATGTTATTTATATTTTATCAGTATATTTCATATCATTGCAATAATACTTATTAAGTACTATATGTGTGTAACAATTACATTATTATTGAATTAATAAGAAAAAACAATATGCAAATATCAACATTTAACAACCTGTTTTATTGACAAACTTTTAAGTTCACACATCAACAATGAAAACTAAAAGATGAACTAAAGCTGACCTTAAAAGCAGAACACATGACAACAGAAAACTTAATTATCACAAAAAGGATGCAATGGGAATGGTATAGAGATAGGCCATTGATTTTCTATAATTAAATGTCATTAGCTTAGATGAGATGATGCACCTGCCTGGTCTTTGAGCCTCTGTTCAGCTAAAGACCAGGATGTTGTAGCATTAGCCTCTCGCAGTAAATCTCAATGGCTCCAGACCGAGGTAATTTTAGAAGTGGCCGAGCTCTTTCACATTTTCCCTAATTAAAACACTGTTACATGAGGAGTTACTAGATTCAAGAATAGTCAATTAATTTAACATGTCCATGTTTTAATGACTAATTTTCATATTCTAGTCTAAGCTAGAGTCTAAGCTAAAGTAACAACATCAAATTATATAAAATCTGTGGCCTTTTCTCTTATGCTGAACAAAATTGCTTCTCTTATGTTTTGGACAGTAGCTTGACTTTCAGTGTTTGTATTTTCGGGGATGGCTTAAATGCATCTAAATGTAAGAAAATCTTCTGAAATACTTCGAAGGTGTATCGTAGTGTTGTAGGATAAGCAAGATTGAGGGAATATATTAGACCCATTAGCAGTGCACATGCCTTTGCAGTATTTCCACATCCAGTCACAATCTCCTTGCTGTCGAGAACAATAGAGACATCCACAGGTTCTTCATCAGAGGAAGAACAAACGACCAGGATCTTCATTTTGTGCCGGTGTTCTGCCGAGTTGTAACGCTCTGCCAAAAAGTGACGCTTATGTAATGCTCAGCTGTTAATGATGTAATGCAAACCTGCGCGCATGCGCGTCTCACGGCAGCCAAAACAAACCAAGATGGCGGACAGAAAGTCCGTGAATTCCTTTAAAAGTTATAATACGAACGAAATAAGACACGAATGTCACTTTTAATGCAATTTGAGGCGAGATGTTGATGGTTCCGTGTTGGCACATGTGGGTTTTAAGAGTCAAACTTTCGGGTAAAGTTTAGTTTAAGCAGTCAACTGCACCTATGAAACCACTATGCTTATGTTATGATAGCAGTCCTGGCAGCTGACGTAGGCTGATGAAGCGTCCTGTGGCAACTCTACAGCTTACAACTGGATGAATGTTGATAATGGAAATAAATTTAATTTAATGCAGCGATCACCTGCAGCAGCACAGCTTGTGGACTGCACACTTTTCTGTCAGTTCAGTTAATAATTTTCATGGGATGAATTCGAAGTTGCAAAAAAAAAAATATGGCCATTTGGATATATAGTGCAACTTTTACTGTCAAGACTCTGCTGCAGCTGATCCATGACAACAACCACAGGATTATTATCACCAGTAACCACAGAGATTACATGCCATGGCCATGTTGTCCTTTGAAATGTAATTCATTCGTGGATTGATGAATTTTGACTAGTTTCCCAGATGAAAGATCGGGTGCATCCTTTCTATTAAAGAAATGAACAACACTGGTGAGTAACATTTAAATTGGAACCAATCAAAGGTTTTTTCATGGGTTTTATGTTAGGTTGTGCATAAAAAATGGGCTGTGGTATTGAATTGAATTTGTGTAGATTTTCCTGCTGAAGGATGTAAAGTTCCCGCATTGATGTCAAGCTTTAAATACAAGAGAAAACACGTTTGTAGTTTTTTTGTGTGGATCAATCAAGTCTGTAGGCTGTAAACTAAGTGTATTTTTAGAAATGTAGGAATTGTATTGACTTTGATTGGTTAGGCCCAACCAGGGACAGGAGTTGTGAATTGGCATCTGCTATAAACTACATTCATCACATCAGCTGCAAGCTTTGTTTATGACTGTGTCTGCATTGTCCCTGTCAAATAAATATATTGATAATGTTGAAAGAGCGTGGAGACTTCATTTTCAGAAATCAATTCATTTGCAGGTGCAAATGGTCTCGTCGTCACACCATGAAACAGACAAAGGGACAAAACATTTCAGTACACTACGCAAACAGCAAATTACAATAATTAACATACGTGTCCAATTCCACAGGAGTCTCAGATTTGTGGAGTTGGTTAGCTGGTGCTCGGGACGACTGGGAGCCAGGTCATTCCTGCATGTGATGTGCTCAGGATACGCGAAGAGTTCACAGATCCTGAAGGCCAGTGCGTTGGCTTTCTGTCCTGGTCAGCCTCTGTAATAATATATTATTAAGTTATTGTACTGTAATGTTTGTACAGTATTATTTCTTTACCAAGTGTTGGCTTTGCTGTTTGCTTTCCTTTGTTGTACTTTGGGTTGGAACTTTGAATAAAGACTGCCCCTTTGAAGAATCTTGCCCACGTTTGACATTTTCATTCAAGTGCATTCCTGCCCAAAAAAGCCTGCAAAAAAAAGTTTCAATGTTAACAGGATTTGTATTCTTAATTATTACAAAGAATAACGCTTCAGCTGTGATGTCTGGTGCTCGGAGACGGGTTTCTGCACATCTTTAGGCAATCAGTTGTTCATTTAGCTCTTCTTTGTACAATGGGGCATACCCTGAGAAAACAATGAATTTGGTTACAAGAGAAATGTTTTGACTTGCGTGTGACAATCAGTGACACTATAGTCCGCTTCAAGACTTTTTCCATGTAAAAACTCCCTCCTACCTCATTGCTCTAAGGAAACACAAAAGTTTTAATTTATAATGAAAATACAATAAATTGTAATATTTACTACTAGACATACCTGTTCTGTTTGTATGTCAAGCGCCTTCTCACTCTCAAGTTCCATTGGTGTGTAGCTGTCACATTTGGCAGTGTCCTAAAAGCATTGGAAAAACGTTAGATGCAAAGTAACAAATATTACTGACATTACTATCCCTACCTGGTGAATCTGCTATTTTTCCCTTCTTCAAATCCTCCAAAAGCTTTGATTGGTGGGTCAAGAAAGTGCCATGATTGTCTCCTAAATAAAATAAGGTATAATTTGTCCCACAGTGGGAAAATGTGATTGTTACAGTATTTACTTACTACTTATTTACAGACGAGATGACATGTACAGGCTCAGCAGTTCTCACAGTACAGTCTGACAGCGGCAGGAAGGAAAGACCTGTGCAACCTCTTCTTCACACATAGAGGATGAATAGCTCTCACTGAAGCTGCTCTCCAGAGCAGAGTGTCCTGCAGGGGGTGACAGTCATGGTCCCCCACCTGCTGCACTGGGAACAGCCCATGACTGAGCTGAACTTACTGATGACCTTGTCCAGCTTCTTCCCCCTCTGTGTAACCCAACAATTGAACGAATGGAACTTACAGGATAATCTACAGGCACCTCTGAGGGGAACACAGCCTCCCGCCCATACATCAACTGGAATGGGGTGTGTTTGGTTGAGATGTGCACCTTTGACCTCAAAGAGAACAGTGTGGCATCAAGGAATGTGTCCCAGTTGTTCTGCTGCTCATTCACCAACTTCATCAAAGCTCTGAGAAAGACATTCCGAACATTGTGTTTAAATGGGGGAAATTAAAACATGTAGGGTTTGCCATCAGTCATATATTTAATGTGTGCTTCACATGATTAAATTATACATATCTTTCTTGCCTCTTGATGTTGTGGTTGGTCTTTTCGTCCAACCCATTAGTCTGTGGGTGGTACGCAGCGGTGACGCTTCTCTCAATGCCCAGCAGAGAGCACAGAGAATCATTGAGCTAAAACAATGAAAATTAAATGAATAAGAAAGTATGAACAAAAAAAAGTAACAACTACAAAAAGCAATATTCACCTCATTTACAAAATCCCGCCCTTGATCAGACAGGATCCGTTTCGGGCACCCATGCCTGTATATTATAGAGCAAAGTCTTTGCCCAACCTCCGCAGCCGTCTTGGTTTTCAATGGGAAAGCCTCTACCCACTTTGAAAAATAATCAGTGGCTGTAAATATGTACTGATAGCCATCAGTAGTTTTGGGGAAGGGCCCAGTTAGGTCAATCCCCCAGCAGCTCCCAAACAGCAGACACCTAACATGCCAACAGGATTGTAATGCATAAATGTACATTGGTGGTTGAATAGTAACAATACAATTACCTTTATGTTTGGAGTGGTGCAACTGTACCCAGAGTCTTTCCCTCACGTTGACATTGGTCACACTCAGCAATCTTAAAACGAACAGGCTTTAGGGAAGGGAATTGTACAGACAAATAATATCACATACCCAATTGTCAATCATCACAGTCATGCCACGCCAGTAAAACCTGGAACAAATGGCATGTCGGGTTTTTTTCATCCCAGTGTGGCCTCCCATGGGCGTAGCATGAAACTCTTGAAATAGTTTCTGCGCCTCATGTCTGGTTTTAATGGCTCTTCTTTTGCCATAGAACAGCTCACCATCTATAAAAAATAATTTATATGAAAACAACAGAAGAAGAAATAAGACATGTATAACCATACTAGCAAATGCATTATTACCCTTTACTGTAAACTTAAGGGAGTACTTCCTCCAGTTGTCTCTTTGAAATTTATTCATTCCCTCAGGATAAATGTTCTCTGTGAGGAGGAGAAACATTTCATCCCATTTATGCTCCATTTTGATTATTAATCAAAAGTAGATGTAAATGAGGAAGTGAACAAAAAGTGCAAGGATGGGTCTGGGGAGAGAAAGAGAAAACGTTGTTACATGACTACCAAATAATAACATCAAAAACAGATCAAAACCCACACTAAAATATCTTACTTGAAAAATGATGGAAATCTCTGAATTTGTATAAGTATTGAATTCCTTTCACCATTAGATATCGAAAGATAAAGGCTCAAGGATGGGTCTGGGGAGAAAAAGGGAAGACGTTGTTAAATGACTACCAAGTAATAACGTCAAATACTGTTTGAAAAAAACCCACACAAAATTATCATATTTAAATTATGGAAATCTCTGACTTTGTATTGGTATTAAATTACTTTCACCATTAGAAATCAAGAGATAAGACCATATGTAAAATTATTAATAATGAGGCTACATGCATGAGAACCCACACACATAAATGAAAAGTAATTTCTCTTTTCTACTAGTACATAATGTTACTATCTTTCCACGAGCAAATATGAGAAACTTAATACATTTCTGGAGGGATTATGACCACGTATTCATTCATGCATTACGCGTGTACGTAACATTTTCCCCAAAATCTAATTTCGAACCCAGGAGTTGGTACAAAGTTGAATAAGTAATTTCATATTGTATAGAATTTAGTAGCGTCCGTGAGGTCAGTGCTTGCACCATTAAGTGCTTGCACCATTAAGTGCTTGCACCATTAAGTCCAAATCAACGCGCTCGGTTGCTTCAAGGAAAACGCGGTCAAACTTATGGGTCAAACTTAATAATATCCCTATGCATGCACTTCACTGAAAAAGTACTATATATTTAAAATGAATCACTGTTGGTAGCGTTACATAGCATGTTGGTCCATCTCACACGCCAGCTGTAAACGACTTTTACTAAAAAGTCGTTTACACAGCGTTTGTTTCACTACATATCGATGTATCTAAGCCCCTATCAAATCACAGGATGAATTTCGCTGATAGAACGTTAAAACAATCGAAATATATGCCATTTGAAAACGGAGAGCCATACTCACGTGTGTTTTCAGCTTCGGGTAGAAGAGAAAACAAGTCTGTAACATTACATTACTTGTGATTAATTTCACAATGTTCACATAATTATTATTTAATTGTCTAAATTCACAAATAATTCATACAATTTTAGTTGCACGGGGGGAACATAAATGCTTTGGGATATATTTTCAGTCTCCAAACGAAAAAAACGGAAAGACGTATCTACTTGTTAAGCAATAATAACTAAGTATCAGCCATGTTTAGTGGAGTGCATAGCGATATAAGAAAGACAGTCATGAAAGTAATGAAAACTGGCCTCAGAAGAAGCTACGCTACAACATTAACTACGCTATGAATCAAATCACGCGCAGCGTCGTTTGTACATACCGAAGCACGCAGTCCTCTGTACACAGCCCAGATTTACGTTTGAGAAACGAGACCAAACTCTTTGCTAAATAAAGGCATGCCTGTGCTTGTTGTTGTTTGAGGAGGACACGTGACAAAGCAAAAGCATGATGGGAACTGTAGTATTTGACGCGATTGTTTCAACACAAGTTTCCGAGCTGTATTATACTTATTTGCTTACATTGCGTAGCCTTGTGTTACTTCCAAGGAAAATGAGAAAATAAATTATTTAGTTATTTTCAAATGGTTAACTTGTTTAACTAAGCTAGCAAACACCATGTGCCTTATTTCCCGCGGATGGAAATTAGTCCGATTAACGCTAAACTAATATTCAATTGAGTTTTAAACCAGCGTTAGATAACATAGCATAGGCTATGCCTTGTTTCATGTGACGAAAAGTTGAATATCTCTCAGTTCCATTTTGACGCAGGAGAAAAAATACCTAGCATCTAAAAATATAATGTTAGCCGACGCTGATGTGACGCAATGACGACATGTGTACAATGCAACACAACCCAAAGACAATAATGAATATACTGTCACATGAAAAACAATTGAAAAGTTACTTACATTAAACTTCACGTTCCACTTCGTGTTCGTTCGAGTCTGCTGGGAGCATGGATCAATGACAGATTGTCATTGTGTGCGGGGCAGAAACTCGCCAATGTAACCCTGCTCACAAGTGCCACCGGGTGGTTGTTTTGGTCATTGCGACCAATTCGTTGAGCAGGTCTTAGACTGCGCGCTCCGCCGTGAGTTAAAACAATATGTTCGTAACACACCCACAGCAACTTTACTCGATGTCAGAGGTGAGGCACTAAGGTGGGAGCGTGAGGGGATGCCAGCGGGAGTGCGTGGCCGCAGCAATTCTGTCCCCTCCACTTTTGGTATACAGTACGCCGTTCAGGGTGGGTCTCAGCGTACTAACACTGCCCAGGCTTCTGAAGTAAGTGACCTGAAGCAAATGTTGCACCGACAACAGGAGCAACTTGATAATCTTACCCAGAGCGTGGCTCGTTTACAGGGATCTCACAATCCCCACCAGCGTACCCGCTCTCCGCGCTCTGGCCCAATCATTTGTAGGCGATGCCGTCAGCCTGGACACATCTCCTGGGACTGTGATGGGGAGCGTGCACCCCCTCGTTCGCAGCTGCCGAGGCAGGGACACGCTCAGTCACATAGTCATCCGGGAAACTAGTGCCCACCGGGTTGCAGGGCCACGGCTCAGGTGGGGCAGTCACTGGCTTAGACCATGTTTTTAATAGCTTCGACGACGCACCAAAACTAGTTTCCTCCTGTCCACATATCAAGGTGGGCATGAGTGGAGTCTCCGTCCCGTGCCTTGTGGATACAGGGTCTATGGTGACTACAATCACGGAAAGTTTCTTCATGAAACATTTTTCTCCTCTCGGGGAGGAGCGACTCAAGGCTTGCCATTGGCTGAAGCTTACGGCCGCTAATGGTTTGTCCATCCCATACATAGGTTACCTGGAGCTTGACGTTGTCTTGTGTGGCAAGCAGATGCCTCACTGTGGTGTCCTGGTGGTGAGGGACCTTCCCGGAACTACACCTGTGCAGGCACCTGGTGTTTTAGGAATGAACATCATTCAAAAGTGTTACCAAGAGCTGTTTGGCGAGTACGGCCCTTCACTCTTTCACAGGCCTTTAGAATCATGTCCTTCCTTTCTTATGGAAGCCATGCAGAGATGCCACAAAGCTAGCCTACAAGCTCCAGTAGTCCATCCTGGCAAAGTTAGGATGCGCGGGAAGAGGGCCTGTCGCATCCCTGGAGGCTCTATGAAGGTCGTAACAGCCACCTGTTCTGAGCAGTTTTCGAACTCCACGGTGTTGTTCGAGCCTCCAGAATTCGGTTTACCAGCTGGGTTGCTAGCTTCGCCGGCACTGGTCCATGTTATGCGGGGCACAGCATATATTCCCATAGTCAATGTGGGTACTACTGAGGTGCTGCTCCACCCCCACACTGTCATGGGTACCCTTGACCATGTACATGTGGCCAGTATGCCAGCAGGAGTAGACGACGTCCCGTCTTTCTCCGCACAGGTAGCGTCCCATGCAGTGTCTACGGTGGTAGACCAAATTAACGCGGTCGATTTGTCGAGCTTGCCTCAGGAGGAGCAAGGTGCAGCTCGGGCCCTCCTCCGACACTACTCTTCTGTCTTTGCAGCATCAGATCAGGATTTGGGATGTACCAGTCTCATTTCGCATGACATCCCATTGTTGGACGATGCCCCTGTCCGCCAACGACATCGACGCATCCCTCCATCTGAATACGAACTGGTTAAAGAGCACATACACAAACTGTTAGACACTCAAATCATCCGAGAGAGCTCTAGTCCCTATGCGTCACCGATAGTGTTGGTTCGCAAAAAGGAGGGCAGTCTCCGACTTTGCGTAGATTACCGGCAGTTAAACCTTAAGACTCGTAAGGACGCCTTTCCTCTCCCTAGGATTGAGGAAACTCTAGACAGTCTTACAGGTGCCTGCTGGTTCTCAACCATGGACCTAGCGAGTGGCTACCACCAGGTTCCAGTCACTGAAGCCGATAAGCCAAAAACTGCATTCGTCATTCCCTTTGGCCTTTTTGAGTGGAACCGGATGCCCTTCGGTTTGTGCAACGCACCCAGTACCTTCCAAAGGCTGATGCAGAGGATCTTTGGACACCAACAGGGGGAGTCACTGTTGTTGTACCTTGATGATATTGTGGTCTTTTCGTCTAGTGTGCAGCAGCATCTGCAGTGGCTGGAGGGAGTACTGGGTCGTTTACAACAGGAGGGTTTGAGGTAAAGCTCTCAAAGTGCAGCTTTTTCAGGCGAGAGGGTCATTACCTGGGTCACATTATTTCTGCTCATGGTGTCTCCACTGACCCTGATAAGCTTGCCGCCGTCAAACATTGGCCGGTTCCCACCACAGTCTCTGAGCTCCGCTCCTTTTTAGGGTTTGCGAGCTATTACCGGAGGTTTGTGGAGGGCTTTGCCAAATTGGCTGCCCCATTACATCATCGGGTAGCACAGTTGTCTGGTCAGAGAAGGAGAAACGTGGCCAAAGGGGAGGTGCAGTTTTGGGACGAAGAGTGCCAGGAGAGTTTCCTCGCTCTAAAGAAGAAGCTCTGCACCGCGCCTGTACTGGCTTACGCAGACTTCTCGCTACCGTTTGTTCTGGAGGTCGATGCCAGTCATAGTGGTTTAGGGGCAGTACTTTCGCAAGAGCAGGGCGGGAAGGTGCGGCCCATCGCTTATGCTAGCAGAGGCTTGCGCCCCCCTGAGCGAAATATGTCTAACTACAGCTCTATGAAGTTAGAGCTGCTGGCGCTAAAATGGGCCATGACCGAAAAGTTTCGGGAATACCTATTAGGACATAAGTGTGTAGTCTTCACTGACAACAATCCATTGAGCCACCTCACGACGGCGAAGCTAGGGGCCACCGAACAGCGTTGGGCAGCCCAACTGGCTTCTTTTGATTTCGAGCTTAGGTATAGATCAGGGAAAAGCAATCGCAATGCTGATGCATTGTCTCGTCAGCATTGCACAGGTGTAGGCCACCTGTCTGTTGTTCTGCCTGGCACTCTAATACCGTCGTCTCTCCGGGAAGTTGTGGACCAACCACAGGTTGAAGTTGTTCAGGCTGTGGTGGCAGCCTGTCCTGGACACACAACCTCTGACGTCCGTGCTCTTCAGGAGAGTGACCCGGTTATTCAGGAAGTGGTCTCCTTGTGGAAACTCAAAAGGCCACCTGGCTATGCAGAGCGACAGCAGATGTCCTTGCCCGCCCAGGGGTTGCTTCGCCAGTGGGACCGCTTAGTTGAGAGGGATGGGTTGGTTTATAGACAGACCCTTCGTCCTGATGGGGGTGAAACTGTGCTCCAACTACTCCTGCCTAACGCCTTGATGAAGGACGTTTTAAATCAAGTCCACCAGGAGCATGGCCATCAGGGTGTTGAGCGAACCCTGTCCCTTCTTCGAACCCGCTGCTATTGGCCAGGGATGGCTCGAGATGTGGCACAGTGGTGTCGAGAATGTGAGAGGTGTCAGGTTGCGAAGGATTCTCGTCCTCCAGCACATGCCCCTATGGGTCATCTATTGGCCTCAAAGCCCAACGAGACCATCGCAATAGACTTCACATTATTGGAGCCGTCCCGAGGTGGGGTTGAAAACGTGTTAATTATAACAGACGTTTTTAGCAAGTACACCCTAGCCGTTCCAACCCGGGACCAGCGTGCTCCCACCGTGGCCCATGTCTTGGTGAATGAATGGTTCTCCAAATTTGGGGTCCCTGTTCGGGTCCACTCCGACCAGGGGCGCTCATTTGAGAACAGGTTGGTCCAACAACTTTGTGAGTTTTATGGGATCACCAAATCGCGCACAACGCCCTACCACCCTATGGGAAATGGCCAGTGTGAGAGGTTCAATAGAACATTGCACAACTTACTTCGTACACTGCCTGAATCCCAGAAGCGCGATTGGTGCTCTTGTTTACCCCAGTTGTTGTACGCGTACAACACAACTCCCCATCAGTCCACCGGGGAGTCTCCGTTCTTCTTGATGTTCGGCCAGGAGCCGAGACTACCGGTTGACTTTTTGTTGGGGAGGGTTGAAGACCCTGTGGGGGGAGAACCCCATGCCTGGATTATTGAACATCAAGCTCGGTTAGAAATAGCATTTGAGCGTGCCAGGACACGCTCCAAGCAAGCTGCTGATCGCAGAAAAGACCAGCATGACCAGCATGTGCGAGATGCTCCATTGAGAAATGGTCAGATCGTGCTGCTGAGAAACTGGGGTGTTAGGGGTCGATGTAAGACTCGTGATATGTGGTTGTCCGAGCCTTTTGTTGTCTTGCAGGCGCCCTCTCGGGGTGGGGCAGTTTACACCATTGCCCCTGTGAGGAATCAAACCTCTGTGAAGCGAGTCCATCGTTCTGCACTGAAACTGCTGCATGGGGTCACACCCTTGCAGGTAGTTCCCAGTGAGGCCCCTGTTGCCATCTTGCGGCACCAGTCCGATGAGTTGTCCTGTGATGGTGACTTATTGCTTTCTGTACAGGCTCCAAGTGCTTTGCAATCGCCTCCAGCCCAAGCCACTCCCGGTCAGCTACATCCAGTGGTCCCAAGAGAGCCAGTGGTCGGCCCACTGGCCCAAGACACACCACAGTTGCCTCCAGCAGGTTTCAGCGAGCCAGCAGCTGACCTGCTGGCACAGAGCTCTCTTGGTCCCCTTTTTGTTATGCCTGTTGACAACACAGGAGTGCGTAGGTCTGTGCGTGCCACAGCTGGACGCCATCCAAACCCACATAACTTGCCACGTTCTGCCAGTATCTCTTGAGTGCAGGTTTGGATACTGTTAGGCCGAGTAGTCGGCATTATCAAGGTCGATCGTCGGGGCGACAATTTAGGGGGGAGGGGTGGAATGTAGTGGTGCGCACTCCCGCTGGTTAGCCAATCAGAGTTTGGTCCGGCTCTTTATAGAGGCGCGTCCTACTTCGGCCCAACCTCTTCCGCCTCTGACGTCTAGTGACTTGTCCCGGGACAGAGCAGGTGTTGTGATCAGCGTCTCGCTACCAAACTACCACGGTTCAATTGCACAAGGCAAGAGGCCGCGCAATTGAACCACGCGATCGTCGTATGCGCTTTTGGTGAGTACTGCGTAGTGATTAAAATATGAGTTAGATTATCCTAAAATCGTGTTTTGTAGCATACCGGCGTCTTGGCGCGCACACCGCTGCTGTGCCTGCTTTCCTTCACCGGGCCCTTGGGCGTGGACGTTACTGCCGTGCGTAAAGGCTTGTCCCAGTGTGAGCTGTCACGGGCTGGGGCGGCTCGTGCGCGGAGCGCTTCAATCTGCAACGGTATGTTTAACTCTGTGCGCCTCCTGAACAATACGTACATAGGAGTTTGTTTCTAATACACAATAATGTTTTAGGATTCCTGTTGTCTCCGACCTCCCCTTCCAAGTGGGGTCTTTTGCACTATAGTCTGGCCTTTTAAATCTAAAGGCACCTAGTGAGTGGGAGTATATAAATCTGTGGTGGCCGCGGGACTGCAGGACGCGTATCCCATCCAGCGC